ACGAGATCGTGCATTTTGTGAGGTGGGCAGTGGAGGGAGCGCTATATGCAGTTAACAATTTGAGGCTTACATACATAAGAAGGTCCATCCTAGTGTTACAAATCATGTACATTAAAGTCAATTGAAAATATATCATTTTGCTTTCAAAAACTGTAATTTTCGTTCTTGCATATTTTAACTGATATTATTTTTGATTTGTGAAAAAGTGACGTCACGCGGAAGGGGGAGGGAGGGGGGAGGGGGTGGCCTGCAGATGATGTGTGCGTGATTTACACGGTAAAAAGGTTTTCTTGGATTTCAAGACTATTTCGTGGATTTCAAGGACGGGTGGATAATTTCCAGATAGACCCTTGAAATCCCAGGGTCTGCTTTGAAACCATTTTCTTCCAAGGAAAAGCCTTGGAATATTTGGTCGGATATGCAAGGGGTTGCCTTGGATTACTAGACGAAAATTCCAAGGCTTTTCCTTGGAAGAAAATGGTTTCAAGGCAAATCCAGGCATTTCAAGGGTCGATCTGGAAACTATCCACCCGTCCTTGAAATCCATGAAATAGTCTTGAAATCCAAGAAAAACTTTTTACCGTGTATGGCCCCTATGTGCCACCGGGAGTGTGAATGACGTTACTGGTCACTCCTAAAAGCAAGTAGGTGGTTCGTCAAGATACCTTTAACCTCCCTTTCACCACCCGTCTAGGGCCGAAATAGTTTTGGTAATTTCTTCTACGATGGTCCACGGAGTATGGATAATGTCCCTGGTGAACTCCCACCAATTAAAACCTACACCAAGATAGCCTACCTTTCACTTCCCTTTCAACACCCGTTTTTGGCCGAAATTGTTCCCGTGTTTTGCCACGGTGGTCCACGGAGTATATATGATATTCCTGGTGAACCCCAGAAACTTAAAGTTAAATCGAGATACCTTTCACCTCCCTTTCACCTGCTATTTACCATGCAAATTGGTCTATGTTTTAATGTCACGCTAGTCCACGGAGTGTGAATGATGTTGCTTACCACCGTGGTTAGACCGTCCCAAAAAACTGCTGTTTTCAAAAACTGCTCGGGACACATTGCCGCAGTAAACGGACTGACTAGTAGATACTGAAACAATTTTTTTCCGATTTTTTGAGCTGAATTTAGAGGTCGCGCATGAATTTTTAACGTTTTTTTAACACAAAAACTGCGATTTTGCCGGAGTTAAAGAGTTGCAGCCTCCCCTGGACGCTCCCTCATCATTCTGATGACGCACACTGTTCCCCTCTATCCCTCTCTTGCCCCTATCACTTTGCGGGGTGTCTTAACAGCCTTTGGCCCCTGTAAAATTATATCCCAAGAGAAGAAAGTAAAGTCCGAAACAATGGTTCAGAGCCATACACAGTTGAAAAAAATTGTCAAATTATCATACTCTCTGTGATGACTAGCTTGTTAGAAAAACACTACCATTCGTTTTCATTGGCATGTGACAAAGTTCCCTCTATTTTGACCGTAGTAGTCCATAACAACGATTCCTACCTTTCACTATGTTGTAATACTACAACAAAACCGTTGGAATGTTTGATAGTAGCAAGATATATCGTTACAGAACGAACAAGTTTGTGTTATTACAAACTTATGGTGCTGGTAGACGTAAGTGACCACTGTTTTGAAATTAAAAATTGTTTCAGAAAATTTTGTGAACGATGTTGGATTAAAACATGTTTTGTTTTTTATCAGCATTTGTTGCTATCAAACTTTGCATCAAATGTGTTCTAAATTTACAACACCATCATTGCTGCGGGCAATAACAGTACAGTTAGAATGTACAGTTTAGTTTATTCCCAATCAACTATTTTAAATGACACAGGTTTAAAACCAAAAGTAAAAAAAAATTGCCATAAAATATGTGAAAATCCCACAAACAGCCGCACGGCCGATAGGGCGCGTAGCGCCGACCCCGACGGCAAGAATTCCACATTACTCTATTGTTTTGGTGTAATGTTCGTTGCTAGTTAAGGTACTCCTCACCCTCACAGACGCAATTTGAGTTATTATAAATCCCTTTTGGGCTATAAAAATGAAGTAAGCATGCGGTTCGGACCCCCGCAAAGTGATAGGGGCGAGAGAGGTATGGAGGGAAACAGTATGCAGAATCAGAACAGTGTAGGACCGTCCGGAGGAAGCTGTAACTCGCCAATTTCCGCAAAATCGCAGTTTTTGTGTTAAAAAACGTTAAAAATCCATGCGCGACCTCCAAATTTAACTCAAAAAATCGGAAAAAAATCGTTTTAGTATCTACTAGTCAGTCCGTTTACTACGGCAATGTGTCCCGAGCACTTTTAGAAAACAGCATTTTTTTGGGACAGTCTAACCGTGGTAAACACCGCAGAAACAATTTCAGCACGAAATGAGTGGTGAAAGGGAAGTGAAAGGTATCTTGATATACCTTCTTTCTGTTAGGAGTGACCAGAAACACCATTCGTACTCCGTGAACTCGCATTGGCAAACAGCATAAACGATTTTGGATGGCAAATTGCTGGTGAAAGGTAATTGAAAGGTATCTGAATGTACCTCATATTTACTACAGGTTTACCGGGAATATCATCTATACTCTGTGGCCCACGCTGGTAAGAAGCAGCAACGATTTCATCCCGAAATGGGTGGTAAAAGGGAAGTGAAAGGTATATGGATATACCTTGTTATTGCTAGAAGTGACCAGAAACACCATGCGTACTGCGTGGACTAGCATGGCAAACAACATAAACCTCTTTCGATGACAAATACCTGGTGAAAGGGAAGTGAATGGTGCCTTGATTTAACTCGTAATTGTTGAGGGACACCGGGAATATCATCCATAGTCCGTGGACTACCGTGGTAAGAAGCAGAAACAATTTCAGCCCGAAACTGATGGTGAAAGGGAAGTGAAAGGTATCTTGATATACGGCTGTATTGCTGGGAGTGTATTCAACTTGCAGTTGCACGCACACTTAGCTTATCAGTAAAGTACGGTGATGCACCAAGATTCACAGCTTACGGTGAAAATAAAACCGTAAGCTACGGCGGTGCAGGGTTTACTAAAACACTGCATCTGGCGGTGATATTCTGTGTATGCTTTTAACAGTGTATTCTCAGAGCGACCGATCCGCTACTCTTTTGTCTTCCGCTACACTCCGCCACCACCAGATGCATCCCTCCTAATCCCACCATCCGGGCCCCGTCAGCGGGCCAGGTCAGCCGGGCCGCCTGGCCACCGGGCCCCCTCCTCCTCTTATTGCGTTGCCGCCCCCTCCCTCTCCTCCCCTCGGCGTGACCAAGGCGGTTGCAGGCTACCGCCTCTCTACAGGTTGTAGAGGTTCATTCGAGGTTCATCGTTATGTTCAGGGAGGTATTTGCCTGACCGATTTTCAAGGCGTTTCAGAAAACAGCCCAGTAAATCTAGAACCTTCAAAGGTTGTCCTGGTATAACTACCAGACCGTACCACTTCGAAGTTCGAAGGCTGTGCGCTAAGATTTCACGTAATTTATAAGTCGATAACTTTGAATCGCCGTGGAAATTAATTGGCTGAGCGAGCGAAGCCTATAACTCCAATGTGATGATCAAAAAGTTTCGTGCCTGCCTGCACTGGAAATGCAAGTGTGTGAATGTCGCTCACCTGCAGGTGAGCGACATTCACACACTTGCATTTCCAGTGTGGGCGTGTGTTTGTCTGTCTGTAATCACCATAACTCGAGAAAGGATTGAGCTAGGTACCTGAAATTCTAAGTGTAACGTAATATTATAAAACGCAAGAACTGTATTGATTTTTAGCCCTCTAGCTCAAAAATTGGCTGAATTAAGCTAATTAATAAGCATTTGGAAAATTTTGCTAATTTTTAAATATTTTTTGTGGTTTCCAAAGGGGTAACTCGGCAAAGTAGAACTCGCAGTACTAAAATTTCGCCCGTTTGGCGCTATCTCTCACAGTTTGGGCGCCAGAGGAAGTTTTCCACACGGAAATGACCCGAAAACATTTCAATGTTTTTTTCTCAGATTTTTGATGGTCTCTAGTGGGGTAACACGTGAAACAAAACACAGTTGCCGCTATCTCTCTCGCACACCGACCGGTCGCCGACCGATCGCTCACCGACCCACCTTTCGGACAGAGCCTAGCTGATTCGTGAGATATCGCGAAGCCCGAAAGGCTGCTACGCAAGACGTGGTCAGGCATACATCTACCTAGTTAAATCTAAACGCATACACCACACCCGATCTCGCAGTGCGAGAAAGCACCTAGCCGCCCTTGCCCTTCTCAGGTCGATGGGCATGGTCGTCGCCGCTGAGACTCAGCCCGTCACATAGGCAACCCGTCGCCTGATACGAGCAACCACCCTCCACCTCCAGCCGCTTGGCTGCCGGGCCACGCCAGCAGCGTAACCTAGCGGTCACCCCCACCCGCCCGAGCCGGCTGATGGACGGAGTATCGCCGACGGCATGGATGAGAAATTCTACGACCCCCAAGCGGCAGCTGAGGGAAACGCGGTTCTGACCGCCCAGCAAAGTCGCTGTTTTGACCGGAGCCGCTGTTTTGTCCGAACCGCTGTTTTGCCGCTGACGGCGAGAAAAGGCGAACGCGGTTCTGACCGACCCCTCCGAAAGACGCGGTTTTGACCGGACCGCTGTTTTGTCCGAACCGCTGTTTTGACAGCGTCTCGCCCGCCCGCCCCGCCCGAGCTCGGCGCCATCCTGCAACTCGATCTCGCCAGGTTTGCCAACAGGCTCATGTTCCCAGACGTCGCCGAGGCAGTTAGTTGTTCACAATAGTGTATTTTGGCTAACGGGGGCAAAGAAGAGCGGATAGAACATAAAGATTCCTGATTGGTCGAGCCTCTATCCCCTCTATCGGCGTGACGTAGAGGCCAGATTCTGTGGACCAATCGGAAACGTTTATGTTCTACCCACTCTTCTTCTTCCTCCGTTAGCCGAAATACATTACACGACGGACACGACGCGCGGCCTGAACCCGAGGTCTGTAAAGTTAGTGCCGCCCGTCCGGCGCCCGTCGAAGCTGGGAGTGCGAGAGGGCGCTGCACTCTCACTCACTCCGTTACTCCGTTCAGTGAGAAGGCGTGCGCAGTGCGCTGGAAGATTGTTTGTTTTGGTTTTGGTTTCGTGTTGGGGCTTTTTTTGGAGGAGAGGAGATAAAATTAAGTGGACACAATGTTTGAGGAATTGGTTCTATTCGATGATGAAGAAGAGGCAATGATGTTAATGGCTGCGATTGACGACGTCTCTGACAATGATTCTGATGGTAAGCAGGAGCTGAATGTCTTATTTGTTATTTGTTTTCAAAGTACAAATTTTTTACCAGTTCTAACCTACTCTCACCTATGTCTTCTTTAATTGAAGGAGGCAAAGAGGAAGTCGTGAGCGTGGATGCTGAAGGATTTCGGAGAATGAGTAATGCTTCTTTCAAAGCAAATTTTAGGATGGATAGAGTTGTTTTTCAGGTAAGATTTAGCTTCTACTTGCTTGTTTGTTAATTTATTGCAGTGACATCTTTTGACATCTTTTGTTTTACTCCATCCAGAATCTAATTGTTGCAGTAGGTCTGCAGATGCGAAGAACCAACAGGTTGCAGAGGCTACGTACCCCTGTCGACCAAATCCTAATGATGGGTCTGTGGCCACTGTTTAACCCAGACACTTTCAGAAGTTCGGGTTTGCACTTTGAGAAAAAGCGTGTAGCATCCACGACCATTACAAACTTATTATTAAGGTGTTAAGTGAACTTGGTCCTAATTACATTAAGTGGCCAAACATGTTAAAGAGAGAACACATCAAAGCACGTTTCGAAAGGAAGTACGGTTATATTGGTGCTGTTGCATGCATTGATGGAGTACACATCGAGATCACTGCTCCTCTTGAGAACCGTGATCAACATGTCAACAGACACCATACATATTCCATGCTTGTGCAAGCTGTCTGTGACGACCAGCTGCTTTATCGAGATGTCTACATTGGTAATCCAGGGGCAATTGGTGATGTCAGAAATTTTGATAATAGCGACCTTTCTATGAACCTACTAACGGACCCTGACATGCTGTCTGAAGGAGAGCACCTGTTGGGTGATGGAGCCTATATTCTGACTGACAAGGTAGGTCAATAAAAAATGTTTTTTATTTTAATGTGCTGGGCTTAATGCTCATAATTGTCCCCTGAATTACAGTTGATGATTCCTTATGGTGACAACGGTAACATTGAACCTTGGATGAGAACTCATAATATGCTACTCTCAGCTTGTCGTGTAAGAATAGAGAACAGTTTCGCTTTGCTTAGAGCTAAAAACAGGCGCCTAAAGAAATTACCAATGACAAACCCATATCTTGTGAGATATCATATCACTGCATGTTTTACAATCACAAATTTCATCACATTGGAAGGGAATGAATGTGAGGTAAGATATCATGACACCCTTTGCTGCAGCTCCAAAATTAAATGTGAATTAGTAGCTAATGACTTCTCTCTTGTAGGGATTCACTGCCCCTGTACCTGCTCCTATACCAGAAGCTGATACAATCGTCTTCTGGAAGAATCAAGAGAACTTGGTGCTGTCAAACGTGAATTTATAGCTAATGTTCTCCATCCTCACTGAAAAATGTCTTGGGTCATAATGTTTTATATTATTGTTATAATTAACAAATTAAACAAACAAATTAAATTTATGTAAAACAATTTAGGTTGTCAAATGGAAGTACAGAACACTCGTCTGTACAACAAATAAAATAGAAATTTAGCCAATAACAAAAGTAAAATATACATGGCAGCAGCATTTCAAAATGAATTATTACAACTGATCAGGAATCTTCATCATCACTGTTAATCATTACCTTGGACTTCGAATTCTTAGTTTGGCAGTGCATAGAAATCACATCTGTCCTGCGATTCATTGCTTTTGACATTTCAAGGTAGGCTTCTGTCCTCGCATCTTGCTTGGACTTGGGCCTCATCAGCTTTGGTACCTGGCTCCGTCCCATTTTCGGCACATTATCTTCCATCACGCAATCATCTTCCATCCTGCTCTTGACCTTAACGACTTTGGATTAACCCAAGGAGACTGTCATAAGAGGATTACTAATACTATCCTTTGCCATCAGGAAATGCATGTCATCATTCCAGTACCATTCTTCTTTTTTCCTTCCAGAGACTGAGGGGCCTTCACCTCCAGTCCTTAGCTCGATTGCTGCACGATTACGGTGCAGTTTTTGTGCTGTATGGTACTTCCTTTCACAAGCAGAAAAATCTAAGTGGTACTCCTTTGCAGCCAGGATTTTAGATACTTCTTTCCAGAAAATGTCCTGATTCTTACAGTCTTCAAGAGATGAATAGTTACATTTAATTACTTTAATTAGGTATCTAGCAGCTTGATCCGAAAATACTGCACCTGGAAAACAATGCCGAAATGAAATATTGTTCAAAGGGTATGAAGTAATTCAAATATTTAAAAAATTGACCCACCTTTAGTAAACATGGCTGCTGTTGTGGCAACTTTCATGGGATCAACCAGCTGACTTTCCAGTGTACAATCTTCGCCCACTTGAAATTCTGTACCTATTAAGGTGTCAATGGACGCATCACCAAAAATTACCGTTAAGGGTAACATAAAAAGTGACTGTTGCTTGCCCCTCTTCACGGCATTGTAGACATCTAGCCAGTAACTTCTGCGCTTGATGACATCCTGCATATTTACATCAACACCCGCTTGGCGCACTTCTGCCATTAGCCGGGCATTGCCTGCAGAGAAGTTTTGTTTATTGCGAAAGAGGCGTCTTGTGAGTATTAATTTGTTTAAGAACAGCACTTTTCCAGCATCCTCCTTGATGAGGTAATCTGCATTCTTCATTTCTGTCTCATCACCTTCACCTAATAGAGAATCTACACAGATAACTTCGTTAAGATTAGCAGGTGCACGTGCAGAAGTAGCTGAGGATGAGGAAGCTTTTTCCTCAGGGTCTTTTGATGAGCAGGCCAACACTTTCTTCACTGGTATTTTAGATTTAAATATTTGGCTTGGTACTTCAGATGTGGATGAGCAGGATGCCACCTGCACCTCCGAGGTCTTTGAGGGTTTCACAAACTCCAGTGTGCTGTTAAGGAACTTAAGAGACCTCATTTCTAAGATCCCATCATAGGCCATCTTATCTTGAATCTATTAACACAGAAAAGAGAGATTAAAATTAGATATGCGCAGAGTATGACAAACACATACTGAACAACATATTGGACAAAAGCAAACATACCTTCCAGTACACAGCATGATTTTCAGTACAAGAGAACACAATCACAGACTGCCCATCAGGTGAGGCGACTAAGCCCTTTCTAACTAGCAAGGCCTCCACATATTTCTGCACCAGTGACTGCAACCAAAATTATTACCAAAAAAACTTTCCATAAATGCTTTTCATAATATCAAAAAAAATTGACATAATATATAACATAATATAACAATACCTCTTTGCCACTAGGTACATTGAGTACCATCACAGTACAGTCATTGCTGATATCATTCACAGCCTTAATACATAAACAACTGTCAACATATTCTATGCCATCTAAGGTGCGGGCTTTCTGTGCTAGGTCTACTGAAGCAAACTAAAGAAAGAAACATAAAATGTAAAATGCTGTTATATAGAAGCTAGAAAACATACCTTCAAGGAAAGAAGCCCCAAAAATTGTTACGTACTTCAAGGATACAATTATTTACATCCATAGAGTAGCTTTTAATAATTCCATCAACAGTAGTGTCTTTCTTGACAAGTTGCAACTCCTCCATTGCTGCAACAATGAAGGGTAGTAATAGATCCTGAAACAAAGTGGTTGAGTAGTGAGCACAACATACTTTCCTTATGGTGCTGCAAAAGTAAACATCAAAAGAATAACTCGTGCCTAAAAAGGTCATCAACGGCATTGTCGATCATGTACACTTTCACTCTACTGCAGTTCAATGAGTTGTCACAGTCATCCAATGATGGTGCTTCCTTATTGTCAATATCATTAACATTTTTACCAATGTTCAGGTTACACCCTCCATCATCAACAAAAGAAGGTACTTTCTCACTCGTAATATTAAAATTGTGATCAATGATCAAAGAGTTACTTCCTTCACCAGAAGCATCTTGACATTTATCAACTTTATCATCTACAAAAGTTTCTCCATCAGAGTTACTTCCTTCACCAGAAGCAT